AATGCGCGCCCCCCCGCGGTGCCCCACACCTGAGGTAGCCGCCGGCGCGCAGACTCACCTCGGTGCGCGTATGCGGCAACCTCGTAGGCGGGAGCCTTTACTGAGGGCTCCACAACATTGCGTGTCCAGGATCTTAGGTGTGTCACCTCAAGAAGCAAAAGCCTGTGGCTGCTTCCAGTGTCTTTCTCTAGGATCCTTGCTGTCTGGCTCCTCATCTTGTGTGTCCAGTGAAAATACTGGCTGGAGCCTAGTGAAGGATCTCTGGCCCTGAAGAAGGGCAAGTAGGGGGTGGGTGAGTGTGGGTGAAGAAAAGGGTTGTGAGGATTGGGTAGAGGGATATGTAGGGAATGTGGGGAAAGAAATAGTGAGGAATGAGGCTGAAGTTTAGAGGGGATTGGGTTTTTGGGAAACATGTCAATGTGTACTACTTCCATTAGACCAGCTTAAGGCACCTATAAAAGACTTAAAATGGGGATGATGCCTGGGCTGAGTGGCTTGTGCACAGCACCAGTTTGCCAAGTGAGGAGGTGCCAGAGGCATTATTATTCAAATGGTCTAACCAAACCCTGTTATGATATTGAGAGGCTCCAAAAGCAGTGCTGTGCCTCCATCTCTTTGTCCAAGCTTCCCATGGAGCCTGCACTGCACACGTACAGAGCTTATTCAAGCTCATTATCCATATTGGTGTCCCTCAAACAAGGGTATGCTTTGTCATGTAGCTCCTCATATTCCCTTAGAATATAATCACTGGCATTCTGAGCTTTCATTCAGAACATCTGGTTCTTTCAGGGTTTTAATATAACATCATGTTGTCTTTCTGCTCTGTCTCCTTGTGGCAGAGAAATAAAGTAACGTTTTGAAAATCTACTTGATAAAACTCATGCCTGTGACCAGAGCAGAGTTCCTACCCTTCACTGTGTGACGTAGCCCCTCTAATCATAAACTGCCAGTGAGTGTTGTACCCAGTGGCTGTGGAGGGACTCCCTTAAGAAGTTTGCTTTTTAAGGCTTCTGGCCAAAGCTCTAAAATTTTGTGTCTCACCAAAGATAGGCTGTAGCACTTGTGTAGCGTTTGTTGATTGATCAGGTGATTATGTTGACCGTGGAAAGGCTTGTGTGGTGAATTTGCTTCCTTTTGCTAATGATAAGAGAGGGATAGGCTTAATACATGGCTTAAATAACCTTGCAGCTTGCAACTCGAGGTGCTGCTATGTGTTACAGTATAATATACCTCAGTGGAATGTGTGGCTCTTGCGAGGAGGCAGGGCATCGTTAGCCCCCAGAATTCCCCGGCTGAACGGCAGTGTTTTGTTTTTCGCAGTTCCACTCCCACCAGCTGTTTCACGTCTTTGTAGTGGCTGGTGCTTTCGTGCATTTCCACGGAGTGTCGAACCTCCAGGAGTTCCGTTTCACGGTCGGAGGAGGCTGCGCGGAGGAAGAGGGCATGCAGTAACACCAGCCTTCGGCCCACGAGCGTAACCAAAACAGCACCGCGAGCGCGGGCGAGGCACACTGGCTAGCAAAACGAATACCTAAGAAGAATCCAAGTTTCAGCTGATGGAGCATGGAGCTTCATGGGGGATTCTGACTAACCAAGATAAATTCTATACCTCAAGCAATGGAATGAATCAATTTGAAGACCAGGAAATTTTGAAGCCCTAATTTATTCTTGGGATCTACAGATTGAGCTACAGAGGACCCTTTCCAAATCGGCTTCTGTTCAATGCCATATTTATTTGTAGATGTTGGGAGGGATAGCTTAGCAGTTTCATTTTTTTCATTTTTTTTTAATCAAGGTTAAATTTATATCCTCTTGGAGGGTTTGGGATTTGATTTTAGATGCTCTTTTGGGAGAAAAAAAAAGAAATTGTAAATAAGATTTCTAACTTTCTGTTTAAATAAAATTTATATAAATGTTTTAAACAATGGGTGGGGGGAGAAAGGGTTTTTGTAAAGAATGCAACATCCAAGTACCACACACTGTTTCAATTTTGCACAAAATAAATAACTGCAGGAGGACCAGGTATAATTCCCAGGAGTGAGGTATGTTGTCCCTGCAGATGTTTCCCGGTGGCCAGCACGCCATGGGCAATGTGGAGTCCCAGCAGCACTTGGAGTAGGTTCAGTAAGTGAGCACAGGGGTGTGAAGGATGGATTAACCTGTCGTTCCGGTCGCAGGGTTAACGAGTTTATTTGCTCAAGTAACTCACGGTGCAGCAGAGCCCTGCCAGGTGTGCGGGACAGCTGCCTTCCAAGCTCGCGTGGCCGGGATGGGTTTGGATAACGGAACCGGCAGAAGGTTGTTCTGGTTCTCACCGCATGAGCTGGAGCGCGATGGGATGGCCAACAGAGCGACTCCGTCGGTGCCCGTGTGCCCCCAGCGGCCCCGCTGAGCACGGGGCTGCCGTCTGGGGCCTGCCCGGCGCGCGGGAGCAGCGGCGGCGACGCGCTCGTCCACCAGAGCCGAGCGCGCGAAGGCAAACGGAGGCGGCCTTGAGAGGGACTGGAGGGAAGAAGCTGTGGGCTTGGAGGTGGCAGTTACTGCAGACCTCGGGCACATCACCTCATGTGTCAGGCTCCGTACGCCACGGGGGTGTGCAGGGTTTTCTTGGGAGAAATCCACGATTGGCCCAACGTGGTTCCTTTTTTTTCCCCCCCTTTTTTCTAGGTCTGCTTCCCATCTGTGCTTTAGCAGTGGGGTTGATGGTATTTCTTTAACTCTAGAAGTAGAGTTCAGCTGGATTGCTGTGGAGCAGGCACACCTCCCCTGTAAGGGGAGGCCTACCCCCTTCTCGTTTAATTGATGTAGCTCGATCCTTGGAGCCCAGTCAGAAGCCAGACCGAAGGAGAACCTTTGAAGTTGTTCAGTGAAACTGGAACGTTCTGTTTGTTATGGCACAGCCATTGCTTGCAGTGTTTCGCTGGAAATTCAGAGCAATTACCTCTCCTGCAGATGAGCTGAGCAGCTCATAAAACGCTCTGGTTCACAAAGCAGGTAAAGGTATGGGTGTTTTTGTGTGTTTTTTTTTTTCTTTTTTTTTTTTCTTTTCTTTGACTCCTGCAAGTCCGTGTTTTCATCCTTCAAGGAAAAAAAATGTGGATTGCAAAGATCTTCCAGTACCCTGGATCTCGCTGAGCTTTTCAGGGAGTTACTTTGCCGAATGGAGTCAGATAGAAGCAGAATGCCCTCCTAGAATTTGGCGGATATTACGGCCTCACCTGGAGTGGAATCTGTTTAAGGCTGTTGAAAGCCAGGGCAGCTGCAGGAAGAGCTGCTGCGGCTGCAGCAGCGGCTCTGGGCTCGAGGGATGTGTTCTCAGCTGCATCGCTGCGCTGCAGGCCAGTAGGCCAGAAGCCCATCGAGAGTCTGTGTGGTACTGAAATGAAATAAAGAGCAGTATTAACTGGGTGCGAGGGCTCCTCAGCACTGGCATCGCTGACGGAGTTGTACAGAGCTGCCTGGCAGGAACTGTGCTGTTCTCTGTGCGAAGCATGGTACATATCAGAAGCAATGTTGCCCGTCAGGTATTCGGGATACCTCCGTATCGGTACCAGCAGAAGTGGCAGTTTCCATCCTGGGTCGTCCCACTCGCTCCCTGCAGGGTGATCATAACCTGGTCCCAACAGCACAGAACTATTACAAAAACACAGTACTCCACCTGCTGTTCTTAGCCCAGTCAGTCTCTCCGTTTGAGAAGTTTGTGTGTTCCAAGAAAAACAACCTAGCTGTGCACTTTTCTGTAGCTCTTGCTGAGAACTCTTCCCAGGTTGGCACCTGAATGCCTTACTCTCAGCAGTCAGAGGCTTGCTTGCTCTGTGTGCAGGTTATTGCCATAGAATAGTTAGGACCTACAGCTTCTTTCCTTCCCCATTAAATAGTGGCCTTGTTCAGTATATTTCTTTTTAAAAATTGCTTACTGTTGGAAGCAATGAAGCACATTCTGGGGTTTTGATGGTTGGGGACTCTGGTGATGGTTCCACATAAGATGGGATCTTATTAATTGCTGTATTCTTAACTTCTGCTAATAAAAGAACCAAATGGATCGTTGTCTAGCTTGGGTCTTTCTGTGGTGCGTGTGGCCTTTGAAAGAGTCGCTCTCGCTTTCCTCCTTCCCCGCTGCTTGCAGAGGTAGAGGCCTCCTCCTGGCCTGGAAACCAAACTGCTGCTCAGAGGCTAGGCTGGGTCGCACTGAACTAACACTTGCTCTCTGCGTCCTATGGCAGAAGCTCGTGGCTGGGAGATGCGTGCCTGAAAGGTTCGTGCTGCTCGTGGTGCCTTGTGGGTGTCTACAAGTCGAGTGAGTACTCACATGGTCTTGCCAGTAAGACTTCTGGAGCTGCTCAGCATATAAACATGGCAGGAGACAGAGGTGACCACGGACACTGCTGCCTCTAGTTACACTAATGATCCTGAGAGAACTTTGTTATCCCAAAGCCTGGACTTCTACTTGGTGCCTAGTGCAGCATCCTAAGAGTTCACCCACCACGCAGTTGCCATGAACCACGGGAAATGCTTGAGATGATGTTTACCCTTTCCTATGTCTGCTTGGTTTTGGTACCTATTGTAACTTAAGTAACTTAAGGACTAAGGGGAATTAAAATTACTTTTAAGTTTCTTGCTGCATTTTGGAAAGCTTAGTGCTTTATGCTTTAGAATGAGGACTTGGAGCTGAAGAGAAGTCCTTTGGGGTAAGTTTTTGTTGGAGAATCTCTCATTGACACCCGGGCCATAGGCTAGCTACAATTTGGAACGGTATCGACAGTGACGTTTTTAGTGGCTCAGATTTCCGGTTCTGGAACAGCCCCCTGTACTGCTGCAGGTTGGGTGCAAACGGGGCACAGGGCAGTACGTGCCTTGTGTCTGTCTGCTGTGGCAATCCTGGTGCCCAGCCCGGTCTGGGAAAGGAAACCTGTGAATGCTGGAGCGGGGGGCAAGCAGGCCAGGGAAAGGAGCAGATCAGGCCGAGGAGCAGATGAGGGTGGAACGTGGCGGAAGGAGCACAAACGCGCCCTGACACCGTGATGGGTCTTTGAAAGGCAGGGATGAAGGTTGGGAGAGAGAGGCCACGAGGAGGAAAGGGAGTGGGGGGGGACCGAGGCCCAGAAGAGTGAGAGCTGGTCAGGACAGAGGACAGGCCCTGGAGACGTGGCTGGCATCGCCTTTTAGATCCCTGAGATTGGGAATCACTCTGGGCAGCCTCGACTCAAGTGACTGGTGCAAAGGCAGGAGCGCTCCCAGCGCAGGACGTGCCCCGCTGCCCACGCGGGATTCCTCGTTCCTGTGTGCGGGGCTGGGGCGGGAGGGAGCTGTGCGGGGCTGGGCGGGCAGTGAGGTGCCCGGCGCGAGCCCTGTGCTCCTGTCTGCAGTCCTCAGCTGTCAGCAAGCGGCTGGGAGCCCCTGCGGCCAGGTAGGGCTAATCCTGCTGCTGCGTTAGTGCTCGCTGAGCGTGGCCGCCTGCACCTGCACAGCCTATCAGCCACCTGCCTCCGGATGCCCCGTCTGCAGGGACTTGGGAGCCCTCCAGCTGGAGCAGACGGCCTGTGACAGCAGTAGAGAGAATTTTGCTCTCACGCATGAAGTACAAAAAAACGCTGCCCCATTGGTTTGATTTTCAGAAATAAGAATGATGCTTAGAGGTTGCCCGGGCAACTACAACGCGTGTCTCCTAACTCTTCTGCATGTACTTGTGGCTATTTTCTCTCCTCCCGGAAACCCTTGTTCAGTTCATTACCAAGGGTGAGCTCGTCCTGATCATGGACTGGACAGCTGCAATAATGGTGATGTCTGAGGCCACTGCCCAACTTCTTGCAGGAGCTGGAGGCAGGTGAAGCCTGTGATGGGAAGGAGGAAATGGAGCTTGTTGTGGTTGAATCTGATGGCAGCTCCCTGCAAAACCGAGTTGTTCTGCCTCTGCCAAAGTCTTTGCCAAGCACTTTGCTTGAACCTGCCTTTCCTGCTGGTTGTTCCCTCTGTATTTGTCGCAAGTGCCCAAGTTTAAATTCTAGCGGATTTCCAGAGGTGCTGAGCGCCAGCTAATGTGTCTTTCCCTGGAATGATCAGCTCCGTGGAGAAGCCACATGTGTCCCTTTAGGAAAAGGGAACACCAGCCCCAACCTCCTGGCAGTGCCAAGCATTTTGCACATGATCATCTTCCAGCAGGATCATCTAACAGCAACGCAGGAGGCGCCCGCGCGGAGACCTCCTGCCCAGCATCATCCGCACGGCGCGTAGGCCAACAGCTACGAAGGGCCCGTGGGGTAGCTTGTCCCTTGGCGGCACTGGCACCTTCGCCCACAGGGACTCGTCTCCTTGCGCAGGGAGGGCAGCGTGTGAACCAGCTGCTAGCGCAGCGCGGCCGCATGAGCACAGCGAGCAGCGCGGCTGCTTTATCGCAGCCTCTCCAGGGCTTCTCTCTGGCTGTCCCCTCCTCCAGTAATGTTTGTATTTTGGTGACAGCGATGTTACTACTTTTGAACTCTGAGGTGTTTGCTATCATGCTGGTAGCATTGTTGGTAGCTTCGTCTCTGTTACAGAACAACTGGACAAAGAGGGTTTTTCTACAGCTGTCTGAAAAAGTTGTAAACAAGATGAGAGCATCATAGGGCTGGCCGTGTTCCCAGAACGATGATGCATTTCCCTAACAGAGGCAAATTACACCCAAAACAGATCCAATAGACATACATGTAATTTTTGTCTCTGTGCTGAGCCCTTGCTGTGTTCCTTGGAGTTCGCCTTAGCTTTGGCTGGAGCTGAGCTCGCATGGGCTGGCGAGGCCGGCACGGCCGAGCTCCCTGCTCCCGCGCGGCCGCGCTCATGTGCTCCAAGGGGCCGGCGCTGCCTGCGGCGCCGCTCCGGGCGCTCTGGCCACCGAACCCGCAGGGTCAGCTGGAGGAGAGGGAGAGGAGCCGCCAGGACTGCGGGGTGGCAGCGATTGCCCGGGAGCGAGAGGGAGGTGCCAGCCCTCCCCGGAGCAGCGGTGGCCACCACTGCCCTGCTGCTCCTCCCAGCAGCAGGGCCAGCCTGGTGCTGTCCCCAGCGCCCTCCTCGTCCCACGTGCCCCGTGCCAGGACAGCAGCAGCGGCTCCCGGCTGTGCTCCTGGCTCGCTGGCCTTGCTGCGTTTGCTGGCAGCCCTCGTGCTGGTTTTTTGAAACAACTGTTTATGCCCTGTTTAGCCCTGGCCGCGGGAGTGACGCCAGAGCAGCCTGTTAATGTTGTTATTGCAGATGACTCATTTTCCTGCTGTGATGCGTCTTTCAAAGATGGGTAGTATGGGGAGAGGGGGAACACGACAGCCGGCTTCGTACGATGTTGCCAGTGCAGTCTGCTCTGAAGTGCTGGGGCTGGAGTCCGAAGCAATTCCTGGCAGCAGCCCAGAAGAGCAGGCGCAGACTGAGTTCGGGCTGCGCCCACGTGCCCAGCTTCGGTGCGCCCCCTCCGGCACGAGGGCGTCCGCGGCAGCTCCCGGCCCCATCCCGGGGGCCTGTGTGAAGCGAGTCCCGGCGTGAGAGCGGGGGGAAGGCAGGGCCTCCTGGCAGGGCGCGACTTCCTGCCCTCAGCACCGCGGCCACGCGCCTCCTGCGTGTGCACGGAGCCAGCAGCGGGTCAGGGACCTGTTTTCCATCCTGTTTTCCTGGAAAGCAGCTTAAGAAGGGGCCAGAGAAGTACCTGTGCTCATCCATATGATGAGTGGCACATCTGTGCACATCTGCTGCTATCATAGCGCTAGCGAGAAGGACCACAGTGATGGATCCAGCGAAGGGACCCAGTGCACAGCCCTCATCTCCTGCTGCATTGCTCCGGGGAAAGGCTGGGGGACTGAGGATCTGCATGGCGCACAAGCAGCAGGAAATAAAGCCAAAATGGTGTAAATCGGTTCTCAACAGCCCATGAGAGATTTAATAAAGGAATGTTTACACACTTTGCAGCGTGCAACTGGGGCTATTACAGTTGGCATCACAGCCTCATGAAGAGCTGCTCCTGGCCAGCTTGCTGGGGTACCATAATCGGAGTTTGTGGCGGTGGCAGTAACTGGGATGAAGGGGCAGAAGGGGCAGCGCTTCCTTTCAGGTGCCCTGAGGTGGCGGGAGGGGAGCTGCCCCTGAGGTAGGGGATAGGCCCAGCAAGGAGGCCACGACGCAGAGGGATGCAGGGCAGAAGGGCTGCAGCAGCTGCCCTGGGCAAGGGTCCGGCCCTGGCCTGGGTTGGACATGGAGTCACGCAGGGCACCGGGGGCTGGTGCTGCGTCCCCGCTCGCTTCCCAACGCAGCCCTGTGCAAACGTACGCGGCGCGTTGGGCTGCCCCCCGCGCTGCTCCCTGGCGCGCTGGGTCACGTGCGCCGGCAGGTGGCTGTGCAGAGCGCCCGTGGGCTCTGCTGCCACCGGTGCAAAGAGCATCCCAGAAAATGCCCCGAGGAGCTCGGGTCTGCGTAAAACCCAGCAAGGCCACGATGTTGGTCCTTGGTCCCCCAGAGGCCTCCTCACAGTGCTCACCGCTGTCCCCAGGCTGGCATCGTGCTAAGGAAAAGCACCTTGGGACCAACTGCCAGAAAGCTGCTGTTTCTGCACCATCTGAATTGCCAACAGGGAATGCTGTTAGGTGCCTCCAGGCCTGATTTTCCTACTTTTTTATAGTATGAAATCATCCATGTCTGGTCATACCTGAGGGTCGAGGTCACGAGTTTGCTGGCTCTGTCACCGGTCTGGCAGCGCGAGGCAGGCTGTGGTGGGTGCCCGTGACGCCGCGCGGGGTGCGTGTCCTGCCTGCAGCGGGAGCACTGGCAGGGCTGCCACCCCGTGCGGGGCAGTAGGATCTATACAGCCTGTAACGTGGTGTCTCTGGCACTTCTGGTTCTCAGGATTTTAACTGAAATAACCCAGTCCCTTCCTGACTCTCTGTCATCTCCTTCCTGGGAAGAAATCGGCTGCAGCTTTTAGGGCTGATAGAGCCCCGAGTATAGTGCTATGTTGGGGTGGCAGCGCGATGCTGCTTGGCTGGAAATGGGAGACGGCTTCTTCACAGCTGCGCAGCTGCTGGTTGACTTCTCTGTCCTCAGCTCTCTGCTTTGCTGACCTATTTTCCTCTGCTCTGCCCAGCACGCAGAGCTGAAGAAGTTGGGAGCTGGAGCAGCTGCTCTTCCCGGGGATTTGCCTCTTGCTGCAGGGCTGTGAGCTGACACCTCTGCCGAGGTGGAGTTTGCTTGGCCCCCACAAGCCTTTGGCTCTGCAGGCCACGAGCAGCCGCGCGCAG